GCAGGATTAGGAATTTGTCATGGGGTGTATATATATATATATATATATATATATATATATATATATATATATATATATATATATATATATATATATATATATATATATATATATATATATATATATATATATATATAAAGAGATGAGTTGTGTATGTAGGGGGGGTCTAACTACCCTCGCCCCCATGTGTATAACATTAGTGACAGAGAGAGACTTACGCCTGTGACTACGTATTTTTCCAGGATAAAAACATCGCTTCCCCAATTATTGACAATTAAGGCGAATAAATTTTAAAAAATGCCACGGCGAACTTCATGTTACAATTTTAAATCAAATTAAAGTAAAGAAAAAAAAAATTGAACATTTTCACAAGCTTTGAATTACGGTAAATAAAAAATGTAACACATTTTTAAAAATCTTCTTTTACTCCATTTAATTTAATTTTTAAATCTCGGTGTGGATTCTGGCGCTTGAGCTTAAAGAAATAGACAACTTCGTTGTTTTAAAATTACTTTAAAAAGGTTTTGTTAATACATATTTGATTTTAAAAATCGAAAGTTTTTTACCATTAAAAAATATTTTCCATGATTTTTGTTGTCTATTGTTTAGTAGACTCGCCATTTTGCTTTTTGAGCTTTTAGTAAGTGTGGGGAACAGTAAATGGTTTCAGTCTGATTTGTCGGTCAAAAAAGTGTTTGGTAGCTCATGCGTTAATATGTCAGGAAAACTGACAGTTATTTCAGCTGGAGATGGGGGGGGGGGGGGGGGAGGGTGCCAGACAATTTGGACAATGATACTCGACTATGAAGGTACCACTATCAGACACTTTGGACAGTGGTACTGGACTGTGAAGGTACCAGACTGGACAGTAGTACCGGACTGTGAAGGTACCAGCCACTTTGGAAACGTAAACTGGACAAGAAAGGTGTTAGGTCAGTCAAACAGAGACAGAATAGACAGAGCCTGTTAATTGGACGAGTTTAATTAGGTTGGTTTGTCTCAGTTAGGTGGATCAAGTTAATTAGGTTGGGCAGAGTCAGACGGGTTGAATAGCGATAATGCTGTTGATTGGGTCCGTCGATATTGATGTGACTCAGTCCTCTTTACTCGTTGTGAAAGTAAAAAATTCCCTTAACGGTCAATTGAGCTGACAAAGTAGAGTTGATGTTTCTCGACCTCGGTATATGAGGGAATGGTGTGGTCAGTACTACACCCAGCTGTCTTTACTTTCCTTAACTTTCCACTAGCGCTACCACCAACCCAATTACCTCCACCGCCACCACCAACATCTCCACCACCACGACTACCACCTCTACCACCACCACCACCTCTACCACCACCTCCACCACAACCACCACCACCTCTACCACCACCACCTCTACCACCACCACCACCACCGCCACCACCTCTACCACCACCATCAACACCACCAACACCACCACCGCCACCAACACCACCACCGCCACCACCTCTATTACCACCATCAACACCACCAACACCACCACCGCCACCAACACCACCACCGCCACCACCTCTACCACCACCACCTCTACCACCACCACCACCACCGCCACCACCACCACCACTGCCACCACCTCTACCACCACCACCACCACCACCACCACCAAAGCTACCACAACCACTACTACCACCACCTCCACCACCAGCAGCAGCATCCACCGAACGTGTGTGTCACCGACTGACGATACATCACCACTTGCTAGATAACCCGCTAATTTGCTCTCACAGACCGACCCGTGGCAATCCTCTCTACGCGATTTTTAACCAGCTAGCAGCGTGAGCACACACACACACACACACACACACATACACACAAAGAAGTAACATCCCCACCCCTCCCTCCATCCCCACCTTTACCCCCAACCCATCGCAGAAGGGCGTCCTCATCCACCTCCTCCCCCACCCGTCGACCCCCACCCCCACAGCCACTGGTCTGTCAGAAGATTCAACAAGTTTTGGCTTAGGGCGACTGGGTGGGGAAATCGTTATTTTCCTTGTCTCATCAATATTCCCAACACCGGGCTCAACATAAGAAATAATCCCAACTTTTTTTTTTCCGCACGCAGAAATTAAAAATAATCCGTGATTTTAACTTCGCGTTGAAATAAAAAAATAAAATAATCTTTGATTTCCCGTTTGGGGTAAAAACGCATAATAAATGTGATTTTTTTTTTACGTCAAAAGTCAAATATTAGCATGGGATTCTATGTAATGTCGAAATGTAAAATATTAGCATGTGATTCTATTTAACGTCAAAAAATAAAATATTAACATGGGATTCTATTTAATGTCGAAAGTAAAATATTAGCATGTGATTCTATTTAACGTCAAAAATAAAATATTAGCATGTGATTCTATTTAACGTCAAAAGTAAAATGTTAACATGTGATTCTGTTTAAAGTCAAAAATAAAATATTAGCATGTGATTCTATTTAACGTCAAAAAATAAAATATTAACATGGGATTCTATTTAATTTCGAAAGTAAAATATTAGCATGTGATTCTATTTAACGTCAAAAATAAAATATTAGCATGTGATTCTATTTAACGTCAAAAATAAAATAATATTCTATTTGATGTTTTATAAAGTCAAACCAAGGATCCAGATTAAAGATGAAAACCAGAATATAATCTAAAAATCAGTTTGACGATTGAAATCAAAGGTTACAGAACGCAACAATGTAAATGATAAAACTTTAAAGTCTTTATCTTTTTGACTCTCAAGTAGGCCTAACCGATTTCCCTTTACGTTCGCAACTAACATAGAATCTGTTGTTTCACGCATGGTGTAAAACAAAAAAAATTCTGATTTTAAATTATTTTTTCCGCTGTATTAAAACAGAGAAATCGTACTTTAATGCTCGTTTTCTAAATGAAGTTAAACTCAGCTGTACATTTTCCTATTACGGCAACATACAAAACAAAATATGTCGGAGTTTTGTAGGCGTTTGTTCTAGTTTATTTGTATCTCTGTATCTCTTTCTATAGAAGCATTGCTATGGCGTGCAACACATACACCATTATAAGTTGTGACACCCCTTTCCGCCAATAGCATTATAAGTTGTGACCGCCACATTCGACACTATAATCTATGACCCCCTTCACCCCACATTAAGCACTATAACCTATCACCCCCACATTTGGCACTATAATCTATGACCCCCCTCACCCCCACATTCGGCACTATAATCTATGACCCCCCCTAACATTAGCACTCTAAGTTGTGACCCCCACATTCGGCACTATAATCTATGACCCCCCCCCCCTAACATTAGCACTCTAAGTTGTGACCCCCACATTCGACACTATAATCTATGACCCCCCTCACCCCCACATTCGGCACTATAATCTATGACCCCCCCCCCCCCTAACATTAGCACTCTAAGTTGTGACCCCCACATTCGGCACTATAATCTATGACCCCCCCCCTAACATTAGCACTCAAAGTTGTGACCCCCACATTCGGCACTATAATCTATGACCCCCCCACACACCCACTAACATTGGCACTATGCGTTGTGACCCCCACATTCAGCACTATAATCTGTGACCCCCCCCCCCCCCCACCAATAGCATTATAAGTTGTGACTGCCACAGCTAGCTCTACAACCTACGACCCCTCACCCCACCCCCCTCATATTCAGCACTTTAATCTGTTTGCGAATCTGTGTTTAAAAAAAGAATTTTTTTCCTGTGGTCTTCCCTGTGTATCAAGGATGTTTTTTTTTTTTACTTTTTTTTCTCTTTCTTTTCAGGTCAGAAGCCGGACAAGATTCAATTACATGGGAAATAATCAGGTTTTTTTTCTCTTTAGTTCTTTCCCTTGACTTGAATGTCAAATGATCCCAGATAGTTCAATAGAAGCATTTGCCGGGTGCCATTTAGACACGATCTGTGTGTCGGAGGCAGGACTAAAGAGAAATTAGTTGCGGTTTAGGACTAAACTTGGATGTAGTTGTTGCAGGACATTTGATATCTTATGGGACTTTGATAGGACATCAGATAAACGGCGTCCCGGGACCTATTCAGGACACTAAAATAAAAATAAAAATGTGTTTTGGGAGTAATTTCGGACCCTGAAATAAAAAAGGCTTTAGGACCTATTCCGAACATTAAAAGAAGACGAAAAACATTCCGGGACCTTTCTTATGACCTAAAGTAGGTTTTCGTAACATAAATGGACAAACGTGACTGTTTGACATTAGGACTAAATGTAAGTAAACGTCAAAGGTAACTGAGCGGTTTGATAACAAAAACGTGTAACTAGGTAAAATATCTTTCCGGAAGTATTGGTCGGCCACACCCCCACACCCACATCCAAGTATTATAAGCCATTTTTGACACTAAACCAAACATATTATAAGTCAAGTATGACACGGTGACCCCACATAAGTACTGTAGAACAAAATGACCCCACATAAGTCTTGTATGACCCCCACTTAAGTCCTGTAGGACAAAATGACCCCACATAAGTCCTGTAGGACAAAATGACCCCACATAAGTCCTGTAGGACAAAATGACCCCACATAAGTCCTGTATGACCCCACATAAGTCATGTAGGACAAAATGACCCTACATAAGTCCTGTAGGACACGATGACCCCATATAAGTCCTGTAGGACAAAATGACACCACACAAGTCCTGTATGACCCTACATAAGTCCTGTAGGACACGATGACCCCACATAAGTCCTGTAGGACACGATGACCCCACATTAGTCCTGTATAACAAAATGACCCCACATGTCCTGTAGGACAAAATGACCCACATAAGTCCTGTAGAACAAGATGACCTCACATTGACCCCCATATAAGTCCTGTAGGACAAAATGACCCCACATAAGTCCTCTAGGACAAAATGACACCACATATGTCCTGTATGACTCCACATAAGTCCTGTAGGACAAAATGACCCCTCATAAGTCCTGTATGACCCCACATTAGCCCTGTAGGACAAGATGACCAGAGTTCTAGACTTACCTGTTCGACGCTGCAGGTACTGTCGCAGAACAAAGTATTCCCGGCATCGCTCAAAGCGTTCTGTGGAAGAAAAAAACACACATTTCTTTAGCATTTGAAGCCGTAACTCCAGGTAAGGTAATTTGATGTCTGATAATTAGCCGTCTCGTGTGGTACTCGCCTGAGTAGCGCAACAAACTTTGGCTTTCATGATATGTTGCTAGATGAGGTTGGTAGCTTAAATAAATGTTGGTGTTTTACGTGGTGGATGGTGTGTGGTGGGGGGTGAGTGTGAGGGAGTTTTGAGGGGGGGGGGAGAAGGCGAGATGTGGGGGAGGGTGAGGTGGTGAGATTTGTGGGGTGTGTGGGGGTGGTGAGATGTGTGGGGGTGTGAGGTGGCGAGATGTGTGGGGTGAGGTGGCGAGATGAGTGTGGGGAGAAGCGTGTGAGCGCGTGCGATGGAAAGTGTGTGGTCGAGGTGTGCGGAGGGATGTGTGGGGGATATGTTTGGAGGAGATATGTGGTGACATTATTTGTGTGGGGAGAAACGTGAATGTGTGCGGTGGGATGTGTGTGGTGGTTTTTGGTGGAGGGATTGTGTGTGTGGGGATGTGTGTGGAGGAATATGTGTATGGGATGTGGTTAGGGGAGATCTGTGTGGTGACGTCGTGTGTGGAGAGATGTGTGCGTGTGTAACGAAATGTGTGTGTAGCGACTAAGTGTGGTGTGTGTATAAATGTGTGTGTAACGGTGTATGTATGTGGAGTTAACCACAACGAATTGACCAGGTCTAGGGGCTGATGAATTCTTCATGGCTGGGGATTAATGCAAGATAACAAGAGAAGGTTTGGCTTAGGCGGATATTCTATGGGGGGAAAGGGGGTCGGGGTCGGTCAGACAGTAGGTCATGGGGCAGTGTGGACTGGTCAGACAGTAGGTCATGTGGCAGTGTAGATTGGTCAGATAGTAGGTCATGGGGCAGTGTAGACTGGTCAGATAGTAGGTCATGGGGCAGTGTGGACAGGCCAGACAGTAGGTCATGGGGCAGTGTGGACTGGTCAGACAGTAGGTCATGTGGCAGTGTAGATTGGTCAGACAGTAGGTCATGGGGCAGTGTGGACTGGTCAGACAGTAGGTCATGTGGCAGTGTAGACTGGTCAGACAGTAGGTCATGGGGCAGTGTAGATTGGTCAGACAGTAGGTCATGGGGCAGTGTAGACTGGTCAGACAGTAGGTCATGTGGCAGTGTAGACTGGTCAGACAGTAGGTCATGGGGCAGTGTGGACTGGTCAGAAGATAATTGAATATGAAATATCAGGCTTGATATTTTCGGGGGGGGGGGAGACTAAATTTTTTCGGTGGGGGGGGGGGGGGGAAGGGGTAGACTTTTTTCGAAGACATGCCTGGAAGAAACTCTGAACTAGCTTTATCCCCCCCTTCCCCGCCCCATTCTAAACCTAACCAAGATTCCTCCCTAACCAAGATTACTCTACATCAGTAAAGGCTTAGACAAGTTTTACCCTCACTGTTCATTACACACTCTGCTCATTACACACTGTTCATTACACACTGTTCATTACACACTCAAAATTTTCAAATTAGATATCTATGTATATTAGACACAGCTATAGGCTATCAATACTAATTTAATGTACTTGGCATCAAGCACTTGAAATTAATTTAATGATTTAATGTAATTGACATTTAGCACCTGACATCAATAAATTTCTCAGTAAGCACAAGACATTGATATAATGTACTTGGCATTAAGCATGTGTCATTAATCGAAGGTCAGAACATTATCCTAAGTACTAGACATTAATTTAACGTACTTGTCATTAAGCACTTAACATTAGAACATTTGTCAGTGAGCACTAGACATTGATATAGTTTACTTGTCATTAAGCACTTGTCATAAGTACATTTGTCAGTAAGCACTAGACATTGATATAGTTTACTTGTCATTAAGCACTTGTCATAAGTACATTTGTCAGTAAGCACTAGACATTGATATAGTTTACTTGTCATTAAGCACTTGTCATTAATCGAAGGACAGAACATTATCCTTAGTACAAGACATTATCCTAAGTACAAGACATTATCCTAAGCACTAGACATTATCCTAAGTACTAGACATTAATAAAAAAAAGGCCCTTGCCAATTCTCCAAGTGCCTGTCATTAATGTAAGCTCTTGGCCTAATTATGAACGACTTAACACCGTTTAGCACACCTGGTTTTAACCTGATCACCTGACATCACCACTTGACAGCACCCCCCCCCCCCCCCTTACACATTTGATGTTTTTAACCTAACCCACCTGACCATGCTTTAAGTAGACCCTACTTGATACTTCTCTACGCCCTTTAAGTTATGCCCTACTCTCATGGACGCTTGAACTTTCTTTACAACCTTGACATTGCTCTACGCCCTTGACATTGGATTATTACCGTTCACGTCGCCCTTGCTCGCTCTTTCTTCACACTTGACATAATTTCACAACGACCTTGACATTGGTCGACACATTCGACATTGTCCCCCTTGACCTTACCACCGCTCCCTCGCTTTACATTATTCTTGGTCCTCGATATCTTATTGATCTAACTTCCTGTCAATTTTCTACAGAATTATCCCACATTTGCATAACAAATAAAAAAAAAAACGTCATCCGGGCCGGGGTTTGAAGAAAATATCATTTCCGCTTTAGCCAGCGCCTTGCCAGACTTTCTTAATCCTGTTCCAAAAGTGACACGCCGCCGGGGGCGGATGTTGCAGGTGCCAATGCCGTCACGTCTGATTGCGCATGGGTCATCTGGACAAGGTGTTGCTCGACGCTTCATTGGCTTCAGGGGGAGAGAACCCCCGTCGCAAAACACGTGTCAGGGGGAGAGAACTCACTCAACACCTTTTGTTAACAGCCTTGTCTTGGGTAACACCTGGACGTAACAGGAGTGGGCAGGTGAGCTAATTTCTTTTTTTTTTTTTGCTTCATCCACCCCTTCCTCTCGCCGCACCGTACCCCCAGCCACACCCATACCACCCCCCCCCAGCCACGCCAAAATATTACCGACGTGTAAACAAGCACACAGCTGTGGTTTCGATCAAAGGCCTTCATCAGAGAAGTCAATGGTATTGTTTGGTTGCGGTAGATGGTACTCACTTAGTTACGCCAGTAGAGGGGGGGGGGGGGGGGGAGGGGATGGGAGGGAATCTCTAAAACATGATGCACCCCGTGCTCCCCTCCCTCATAATAAACATTGAATATCTCGAAGCTTTAGTACCCTACGCCCCCTTCACCCCCTACCCCTACTGTATCAGCACGCCCCAAGAACTACAGACATTCCTGTGGCCCCCCATACATGTCTCTGCCAATCACCATAGCACATACATCGCTGTCATGTCGGTATGTTCCTATTATTTTCTATGGTATATCTGAACCTTTCGTTTGGGTAACTCATGCCTGACGAACACGGACCCTACAAAAATAGAATTATAATTCAACCAAATGTAAGAAATACATGGTAATTGACTTCTTCATTTAAGAAAAATGTATATGATTGACTATGATATGTATGCCTTATTATGTGATTATGTGATTATGTCACAAATACGACGCCTGATATTAGCTATATGTGAATCTATGATTAATGTATATCCATTTCAATGACTGTTGTATATCCATTCATGTATCTCCTGTATATTCCTTTAGACAGGTGACTGTTGTATATCCGATTCCGTGATTGTTGTGAATCCATTTATGCGACAGTTGCAAGTCCTCTCACCTGAGACATAGTGCGAGCTTATCCAAAGATCTAACAACGTAGACCTACAACAGGGCTACAGGGATTTGTTCAAGAGAAACATCAGAAGCAGGACTCTGGCCAATTACAATCAAACACACGCACACACATATGTGTGTATATCAATATCAATATATATATATATATATATATATATATATATATATATATATATATATATATATATATATATATATATATATATATATATATATATACATATAAGAACATTTACATATACATTTATACACACACACACATATACATAATTATATATATATATATATATATATATATATATATATATATATATATATAATTATATATATACATATAAGTACATTTACATATACATTTATACACACAGATATATATATATATATATATATATATATATATATATATATATATATATATATATATATATATATATTATGCGCATATATATATACATATAAGTACATTTACATATACATTTATACACACACAGAGATATATATCCACATATATATGTCCATATATCTCCAGTAGGGGTCTCGAGAAGCGCCTGGAATTCGATCCAACCGAAGATAAAAAACATCCGAGTAACGAAATAGGAAACCCATGAAGCGATAATCGCATTGAGAACAGGATTGGAAGCAACGGCCTCAGATTGTAGAGATTGGGGGCGGGGGAACAATGCTCCGTGCTGAGTACTTGTTTCACGGCACTGTCACGTGACTGTACTCGGGGTCACGGCACTGTCACGTGGCACACACTAATTTGAATTGTTATCTGCGATTTTAAGTCATTAACGAAACTATGTATGCATAGCATACATTCGACTAATCGATGATTAGGTAGCTAGTAATAGGATTTCTCGTACGCCATCTCCAAATGCGCATTCTGTTTATATATGCGCGCTGATCTGCGCATACATACGCAATCTCAATTTTCGGCGATTAGAATTCACCACTTATTAGAATCAATATTCATCAGACGAACGCGAGTTGCTCCCCCCCTCTTCTCCCCCCTTCTCCAAAAATGCTCAGTCTGTGCTATCAATTTTTTTTTTCTTTCGGCCCTTACGAATTTCTTAAAAAAATAATTGAATCCATTTCTCTTCTCCCCCCCCTCCCCATACCCAACACACACACACACACACACACACTTTCCCAACCATCTTGCCTCACTATATCTTTTCCTGTAAAGATTTATTTTATTTTATTTTTTTTTTATCTAGGAAGGTGTTCTCTTGTACGACGCCTAACCTAGACATGTATATTACACCAATTTCACATTTTATAAAAGCATTTTTACATTGTAGAGCTGATAAATAAATAAATAAATAAATAAATAAATAAATAAATAGCTAAAATAAATAAATAAATAGCTAAAGAGCTGATATATATATATATATATATATATATATATATATATATATATATATATATATATATATATATATATATATATATATATATATATATATATATATATATATATATATATATATATATATATATATATATATATAAACCACAGTTTATAGAGTTGGGTAAAGAGAATTAGTAGGGGCACTACATGCCTACAGAAACAAGTGTGGGTACGAAATGGTGTTAGGGGTTTGTGGGTGTAGGGTAATAGCGATCCAGTGAGTCGATAAATGACATTCAGTGACGCCCTCAAGCGTCTTATTCAAACTCCCCCCGGGTTAGGCCGGGAGTTTATCTTGTGGAGCATCAGAGGGTGGGGCTTAGTGGCTCGCAGTCTTGACCCCCATCATAGGATGGTACTGGGGCTTAGATTCTCGCAAAGTTGTCGCCATCATAGGATGGTAGATCTTAGATTTTCACAGTGCTGCCCGCTCCCCCCCCCCCTCATATGATGATGGAACTTTGATTCTAGCAGTTACTCCCATTATATGATGGTAAAAATTAGTTTGTCGCAGTGTTGCCCCAATCTTACGAAGTTGATCCCATCATGGGACGATAGATCTTAGGAGGATATGATCAAACTGTTGCTCAATAAATAAATATATATATATATATATATATATATATATATATATATATATATATAGTATCGACCTTTTTATTTTAATATTGCGGTGGCCGAAAACGCACTGTTCTCATTAACTTTGTTGATAAACTTGCCATCTAAATGATAAAGTCGTACCAGTGATAAATCACCATGATTCTAATACCATTCCGCTTGAACGCGTTAACAACGGTTCAAGGAATTTCAGGCCAATGCCGAAGTTCCGGCCCAATGAACATCCCATCTGATGGGAGGAGGGCTGAGAATTGAGAACAGCTGAGCAGTCGACACAACACTCCCTGGGGCAACGCGTCAGATCCTAGTTCGAAACCAGCCTTGCACGGGCTAATTGTCCTTATCAATGGCATGGTTTACTAATACCTTAGGCCTAACTTATTTAAATCTAACTTCCCTCAAAGCTCAATCTCCATTTATTTTACGATCAAATTAACAGAAGTGTATATATATACATTATATATATATATATATATATATATATATATATATATATATATATATATATATATATATATATATATATATATAGGCCTATATATATATATATATATATAGGCCTATATATATATATATATATATATATATATATATATATATATATATATATATATATATATATATATATATATGTGTGTGTGTGTGTGTGTATGAGTGTGTGTGTGTGTGTGCGCGGGCATTCGTTACCTGCCGATCTTTTTTAATCGTTTTTATTTTGGTTGATCAAAGGACTTCAATATGTCAATTTGTTTTTAAAATGTAAAACATCCTTAACACATATACTTTAAACTATTTTTAACAAAGCGAAAGGTAAAATTTGTGAAGATGATTAAGAAATTAGCCAAAATTATTTTTTTGGTAAGGTGCAGTTAAATTAAGTCGTCGCCGTAATTACATCACAGGAAAAATAATTTCCCTTTTGCTAACAGGACATTTTTATGACGGTTAAAAATCTCGCCATTACATTAAATCTTTAATGTTTCTAGTAATTAGCGTAATAGCGTAATTGCTAATATTGCATTATCCGCTTTCAACAAAATTATATTGGGCTTGAAAAAGTGCCTTAACGTTTTTCAAAGAAAAATAGAATAATTGTAAAATAAATGTTATAGAAACTTTTTTTTCTTTCATTCAATCAAATTTAGAGCGATTGTATCTTCTGTGAAACAACTATAGAAAAACATTTAGAAGTTGTTTTAAAATTGTTTTGTATTTAACCGTCTTGTTTTCAATTTTCCTGTTAAAAAAAAAAAACAAGAACACGTGTGCAGATGTTGTTGTACTTCAGTAGTTCTTCACACTTAGACGTACTGTTAAGCCAGGAGATAGATGCACATTATAAAAAAAAATTATACACATTTTACATGTATCTGCACGCACACCTGCAAGTGTACGTGTGCATGTACGTATATGTAAGCAAAAAGCCTTCTAAGCGGACAAAGACTGTAAAGATGATTTTTCAGCGTTTTTCTAATTTAATCCCCTAGTCTACATTTGACTATGACACGAATGCTCTAGAAATAACCACTAGGGATGCTTATTTAAATACGACGCAGCTGCTAGGTCGAAACAATAAAAAAGAACATATTTATCATCTACCCTCCCCCCCCACCCCAAAAGTGAACACCACACCACACCCCAACCCCTACCCCAATTCGTTGTATAACAGTCCTTTGGTGCGCCTCTCTTCATTAAGATATCGTAGCCTTGGGACAAGTTTTCTATATCCAAAAGTATGCCTTTTCGTCTACTCTTTAACCATACTGTTGTGTGCTAACGAAGGCCTTGGGTCGAAACATCCACTGTACCTGATATTGTTTTTAAAGTTTTTTGAAGGTACCAAAACTACCTGTTTTAATACTATTATAAGAACGAAATTTTAGAACAGATGTAAACACTATTGTTCATCCCCCCACCCCCCACCACCCCACCCCACCACACCCATTTTTTTTTTACTCCAACCAGACACAAATCCAGACATTTTCTCACGGTAAGTCCATTCATTGGGGGGGGGGGGGGATACCGGCTGGTCAGGTGACCTGGGCAGTCTACTGGTGCTGGGAACGGGCACCTGTTGGCTGGCCGGCTGTGTTGTGGTCCAGGGCTGTCAAGGTCAAGGTTACCAATTGTACGGCCTGGCCGGATGAAGTGGGGGATGGGTTTTTACGGTCGTGTCAGGGTGGGGTTCCGGTCAATGAATAGTCCGGTCCAGGTTTGACCAGGGTGGAACAAATGGTGTAGAACTTTGGGCATGGGAAACAGCGGCGTTGTGAGGTTGGGAGGGTGTGTTTGTGTGACTGCGAGTGTGTGTGTTGGAGGGGGGGGGGGGGTAGGGTAAATTAAATTTCCCCATGGAACAACAAAATAACAATATTAAGTTATAGAATCTTATATATATATATATATATATATATATATATATATATATATACCTATATATAAATAAAGGGCCTGCATATTAATAGGGCCTGCATATAAGGTCTTTAGACCTATCTTCTATCTATAGGCTTGTGTGTATATATGCATATATATATATATATATATATATATATATATATATATATATATATATATATATATATATATATATATATATATATATATATATATATATATATATATATATATATCGGTCTTTAGAAAGGATAACAGTTTGTGAAAACACTTCCACTCCCCATTACAAAATCCTTCTTACGCCACTCAAGGGAGAAGACACGTCATAGAGCTAAGCTGCTTATATGTTCAGGGCTGTCTTACGTGCATTTAGAGACCAAGTAAAATCGGGGACACGCTTTTATTTTTAACAAGTAACTGACCTCATGCCTCAAACCGTAAACAGAATCTCTAACCCTAACTATCATCATTTCCGGTACCAGAGTTAACATTTTTTCTTGGAGGCACGGCCGACTAGAATTCTCTATACAGTAGGAGACGTCCCTAAATTACGTCATTATATTTTGATCGATTTTTTTCTCGAACCTCACCCCCCTTCCGGTGGTCAACTGCCCCACCCCCCCCCCCCCTCCTCCCCCTAACAGCATCACCACATACATCATCACAGACTAAGATCTGATATAAGCAAGTGCGAGAAAAACAGAATCTTAAAACGAAATCTATATGAACAAAGACATATCAGATTTTTGCCTGTCTGGTGAGATTAAACTAACGGTGTTTATTTAGACGAAAATGGAAACTATTTTTGTTTTGTTCTGCAGAATTGTATTAATAAATTGCATGCATAGCCCTATATCAGAATATCAGCAAAAATAATATTACGTGAAGTCACACAATGTCACCTCACCGATGGTCACACGTCACAAAAATTACTAGATCTAGACCCCCCCCCCCCCCAAAAAAAAACAACAACATATTGCATAGATAACGTATTCCGTTGATAACTTTATTTTAAAAACAAATACATTATTTAAATGAAAATAACGTTTCTAAAATGATCCCATAAGCACACTCTACAGACTTAAACGCCGGTGACCGTATTGAGTTATCCAACTGTTGATACTGTCTTTAACGTCATTCTGATCAAGCGCGGGTAATAGAAAGTTTTAAAAGTCTCGTAAAATCACATTAAAAAAACCAAAACAAAAGCGCCGAACTCACCAAATGCTGCTCACAATTTCCCTTGCACGTGCCCAGTATCTCCCTCTGGTCATTAGAAAAAGTTTCACCGGCCAACACAGGAACAACAACAACAACAGCAACAAACAACAATAGAAACAGTGTCGGGGCAAACGTAGGCATGGCTCATCCTATCCCCATGACCATCCGAGAAAAATGCGGTGCTCAAAGCTTTGACTGCAAGGCTCTGCCGTAACTCCTCTCTTCCTATTGGCTGGTTCCTGGTTCGTAGCGTCGCAGCCAGCTTCCCCCCCCCTCCAACACCACGTCCCCCCCACCTATCCTCCTTGCCCCCAACCCACTATCGGCTACCGAGGATGCGAACGCCGTCGAGATGTCAAACTGTTATGGTCACTGCCACATGCGTGGCACTTTTGGGGCGGTCACGTGACCCGGGGAGGTTTTTAAACAGCAGATGGGGGTTAAGTTTAAAAGGTGTGTGTGGGGATGGGGGTGGGGGGGGGGTGGGGGGTCGACCACGCCTAATGAAATTGTAAATTGATACACCTGATACAACTGTTACACGCGTAAAAGTGTGCTGAATGTAATAAAGATCTTATCTGGGCTTAAAATATGCAATAGCTTTTAACTTTAATGTTTTTTAATTAGGGTTTTAAATTTAGAGCAGGTTTGTGGTCGATCTGTATGGCGTGAAGAGTTGAATGTTGTCGTTTTGAGTTCGAATACAGGCAAGAGAGGTTTAACGTGTGAAATATTGTGTCAGTGAATATTGGTGGTGGTGTTCTCTGTCTAAATTTGTGGTGTTGTTCTCTTACTGTCTAAATTTGTGGTGTTGTTCTCTTACTGTCTAAAATTGTGGTGGTGTTCTCTGTCTAAATTTGTGGTGTTGTTCTCTTACTGTCTAAAGTTGTGGTGGTGTTCTCTGTCTAAAGTTGTGGTGTTGTTCTCTTACTGTCTAAAGTTGTGGTGGTGTTCTCTGTCTAAAGTTGTGTTGTTGTTCTCATACTGTCTAAAGTTGTGGTGGTGTTCTCATACTGTCTAAAGTTGTGGTGGTGTTCTCTGTCTAAAGTTGTGTTGTTGTTCTCATACTGTCTAAAGTTGTGGTGTTGTTCTCTTACTGTCTAAAGTTGTGGCGGTGTTCTCTGTCTAAAGGTGTGGTGGTGTTCTCTGTCTAAAGTTGTGGTGGTGTTCTCTTACTGTCTAAAGCTGTGGTGGTGTTCTCTGTCTAAAGTTGTGGTGGTGTTCTCTGTCTAAAGTTGTGGTGGTGTTCTCTGTCTAAATTTGTGGTGGTGTTCTCTTACTGTCTAAAGTTGTGATGGTGTTCTCTGTCTAAAGTTGTGGTGGTGTTCTCTTACTGTCTAAAGTTGTGGTGGTGTTCTCTGTCTAAATTTGTGGTGTTGTTCTCTTACTGTCTAAAGTTGTGGTGTTGTTCTCTGTCTAAAGTTGTGGTGGTGTTCTCATACTGTCTAAAGTTGTGGTGGTGTTCTCTGTCTAAAATTGTGGTGGTGTTCTCTGTCTAAAGTTGTGGTGGTGTTCTCTGTCTAAATTTGTGGTGGTGTTCTCTGTCTAAAGCTGTGGTGGTGTTCTCTGTCTAAAGTTGTGGTGGTGTTCTCTGTCTAAAGTTGTGGTGGTGTTCTCTGTCTAAAGTTGTGGTGGTGTTCTCTGTCTAAAGTTGTGGTGGTGTTCTCTGTCTAAAGTTGTGGTGGTGTTCTCTGTCTAAATTTGTGGTGGTGTTCTCTGTCTAAAGTTGTGGTGGTGTTCTCTGTCTAAAGTTGTGGTGGTGTTCTCTGTCTAAAGTTGTGGTGGTGTTCTCTGTCTAAAGTTGTGGTGGTGTTCTCTGTCTAAAGTTGTGGTGTTGTTCTCTGTCTAAAGTTGTGTTGGTGTTCTCTTACTGTCTAAAGTTGTGGTGGTGTTCTCTGTCTAAAGCTGTGGTGGTGTTCTCTGTCTAAAGTTGTGGTGGTGTTCTCTGTCTAAAGTTGTGGTGGTGTTCTCTGTCTAAAGTTGTGGTGGTGTTCTCTTACTGTCTAAAGTTGTGGTGGTGTTCTCTGTCTAAAGTTGTGGTGGTGTTCTCTGTCTAAAGTTGTGGTGGTGTTCTCTGTCTAAAGTTGTGGTGGTGTTCTCTGTCTAAAGTTGTGGTGGTGTTCTCTGTCTAAAGTTGTGGTGGTGTTCTCTTACTGTCTAAAGTTGTGGTGGTGTTCTCTGTCTAAAGGTGTGGTGGTGTTCTCTGTCTAAAGTTGTGGTGGTGTTCTCTTACTGTCTAAAGTTGTGGTGGTGTTCTCTGTCTAAAGTTGTGGTGGTGTTCTCTGTCTAAAGTTGTGGTGGTGTTCTCTGTCTAATGTTGTGGTGGTGTTCTCTGTCTAAAGTTGTGGTAGTGTTCTCTGTCTAAAGTTCTGGTGGTTTTCTCTGTCTAAAGTTGTGGTGGTGTTCTCTTACTGTCTAAAGCTGTGATGGTGTTCTCTGTCTAAAGTTGTGGTGGTGTTCTCTTACTGTCTAAAGTTGTGGTGGTGTTCTCTGTCTAAAGTTGTGGTGGTGTTCTCTGTCTAAAGTTGTGGTGGTGTTCTCTGTCTAAAGCTGTGGTGGTGTTCTCTGTCTAAAGTTGTGATGGTGTTCTCTGTCTAAAGTTGTGGTGGTGTTCTCTGTCTAAAGTTGTGGTGGTGTTCTCTTACTGTCTAAAGTTGTGGTGGTGTTCTCTGTCTAAAGGTGTGGTGGTGTTCTCTGTCTAAAGTTGTGGTGGTGTTCTCTTACTGTCTAAAGTTGTGGTGGTGTTCTCTGTCTAAAGTTGTGGTGGTGTTCTCTGTCTAAAGCTGTGGTGGTGTTCTCTGTCTAAAGTTGTGGTGGTGTTCTCTGTCTAAAGTTGTGGTGGTGTTCTCTGTCTAAAGTTGTGGTGGTGTTCTCTGTCTAAAGTTGTGGTGGTGTTCTCTGTCTAAAGTTGTGGTGGTGTTCTCTTACTGTCTAAAGTTGTGATGGTTTTCTCTGTCTAAAGTTGTGGTGGTGTTCTCTGTCTAAAGTTGTGGTAGTAATCTCTGTCTAAAGTTGTGGTGGTGTTCTCTGTCTAAATTTGTGGTGGTGTTCTCTGTCTAAAGTTGTGGTGTTGTTCTCTTACTGTCTAAAGTTGTGGTGGTGTTCTCTGTCTAAATTTGTGGTGTTGTTCTCTTACTGTCTAAAGTTGTGGTGTTGTTCTCTGTCTAAAGTTGTGGTGGTGTTCTCATACTGTCTAAAGTTGTGGTGGTGTTCTCTGTCTAAAATTGTGGTGGTGTTCTCTGTCTAAAGTTGTGGTGGTGTTCTCTGTCTAAATTTGTGGTGGTGTTCTCTGTCTAAAGCTGTGGTGGTGTTCTCTAACTGTCTAAAGTTGTGGTGGTGTTCTCTGTCTAAAGTTGTGGTGGTGTTCTCTGTCTAAAGTTGTGGTGGTGTTCTCTTACTGTCTAAAGTTGTGGTGGTGTTCTCTGTCTAAAGTTGTGGTGGTGTTCTCTGTCTAAAGTTGTGGTGGTGTTCTCTGTCTAAAGTTGTGGTGGTGTTCTCTGTCTAAAGTTGTGGTGGTGTTCTCTGTCTAAAGTTGTGGTGGTGTTCTCTGTCTAAAGTTGTGGTGGTGTTCTCTTACTGTCTAAAGTTGTGGTGGTGTTCTCTGTCTAAAGTTGTGGTGGTGTTCTCTGTCTAAAGTTGTGGTGGTGTTCTCTGTCTAAAGTTGTGGTGGTGTTCTCTTACTGTCTAAAGTTGTGGTGGTGTTCTCTGTCTAAATTTGTGGTGGTGTTCTCTGTCTAAAGCTGTGGTGGTGTTCTCTGTCTAAAGTTGTGGTGGTGTTCTCTGTCTAAAGTTGTGGTGGTGTTCTCTGTCTAAAGTTGTGGTGGTGTTCTCTTACTGTCTAAAGTTGTGGTGGTGTTCTCTGTCTAAAGTTGTGGTGGTGTTCTCTGTCTAAAGCTGTGGTGGTGTTCTCTGTCTAAAGTTGTGGTGGTGTTCTCTGTCTAAAGTTGTGGTGGTGTTCTCTGTCTAAAGTTGTGGTGGTGTTCTCTTACTGTCTAAAGTTGTGGTGGTGTTCTCTGTCTAAAGGTGTGGTGGTGTTCTCTGTCTAAAGTTGTGGTGGTGTTCTCTTACTGTCTAAAGTTGTGGTGGTGTTCTCTGTCTAAAGGTGTGGTGGTGTTCTCTGTCTAAAGTTGTGGTGGTGTTCTCTTACTGTCTAAAGTTGTGGTGGTGTTCTCTGTCTAAAGTTGTGGTGGTGTTCTCTGTCTAAAGCTGTGGTGGTGTTCTCTGTCTAAAGTTGTGGTGGTGTTCTCTGTCTAAAGCTGTGGTGGTGTTCTCTGTCTAAAGTTGTGTTGTTGTTCTCATACTGTCTAAAGTTGTGGTGTTGTTCTCTTACTGTCTAAAGTTGTGGTGGTATTCTCTGTCTAAAGTTGTGGTGGTGTTCTCTGTCTAAAGTTGTGGTGGTGTTCTCTTACTGTCTAAAGTTGTGGTAGTGTTCTCTGTCTAAAGTTGTGGTGGTGTTCTCATACTGTCTAAAGTTGTGGTGGTGTTCTCTGTCTAAAATTGTGGTGGTGTTCTCTTACTGTCTAACGTTGTGGTGGTGTTCTCTGTCTAAAGTTGTGGTGGTGTTCTCTGTCTAAAGCTGTGGTGGTGTTCTCTGTCTAAAGTTGTGGTGGTGTTCTCTGTCTAAAGTTGTGGTGGTGTTCTCTGTCTAAAGTTGTGGTGGTGTTCTCTGTCTAAAGCTGTGGTGGTGTTCTCTGTCTAAAGTTGTGGTGGTGTTCTCTGTCTAAAGTTGTGGTGGTGTTCTCTGTCTAAAGTTGTGGTGGTGTTCTCTGTCTAAAGCTGTGGTGGTGTTCTCTGTCTAAAGTTGTGGTGGTGTTCTCTGTCTAAAGCTGTGGTGGTGTTCTCTGTCTAAAGTTGTGGTGGTGTTCTCTGTCTAAAGTTGTGGTGGTGTTCTCTTACTGTCTAATGTTGTGGTGGTGTTCTCTGTCTAAAGCTGTGGTGGTGTTCTCTGTCTAAAGTTGTGGTGGTGTTCTCTGTCTAAAGCTGTGGTGGTGTTCTCTGTCTAAATTTGTGGTGGTGTTCTCTGTCTAAAGTTGTGGTGGTGTTCTCTGTCTAAAGCTGTGGTGGTGTTCTCTTACTGTCTAAAGTTGTGGTGGTGTTCTCTGTCTAAAGGTGTTGTGGTGTTCTCTGTCTAAAGTTGTGGTGGTGTTC